TTATATTTGCAGCCACTTGTCTTACTTTTATAAAATTAGTTCTTTTGTGACTCGAATTTTAAGCCATTAACTATGACTGGTTGTACATCCTTTTGTTTTTTTCCGTGATACCAGCCTTAACATCGGAAGCGCCTGGTGTTGATGTGCCTGTTCAGGGACAACAGAGCACGGCTCATGCATCTGCTATTCGTGGTGGCGGATATAATTCAGCAGATATGCATCGTCAACATAATGCTTCTAATAATCATTCTCGAGGTTCTTCAAGTACTAATCTTTCGGGACAAAATCAACATATGTGGTTCAACGAAGGTTCTCAGGGTATTTCTACTGGCATGCCATGGATGCCTATACCAAACCAGAATCTGCCTCAACCTCCTGGGCTTGGATCATCAGGTGTGATGAACAGCTGTCTGTATGAACAGTTGCCTCATTTGGACGTGACACATACACATCAGAATTCATCTCAAGATTCATCATCTGCTCGGCTGATGGGTATTTTGAAACTCCCAAGTGGTAAGGACTACGTGCATTTCCTGAATTCTTGATTATTTGAATAATATCCGGGTTCTTTCCATTATACTTTGCTCTGCCAGCGTACTATATTCTTTCGTCTACATGGGCCATTATATGCCTCTGTTTTTTAGCTTTTTGATTTATACAATAAACAGTATTTTAATATAAATCCTAGCCGTATATGGGTTTTCATTGGTGAATATTTAAACATACTTTTAATAGTGGTAATATTTGCACTGTGTTATCCTATGCGATGGTGTTGGCAAACTGCTTTTTGACGTCCTGTAATAAGGTTTTACCCGCAACTGGTCAGTTATACTTGCTACTTGTTTGTGTACAATTTGTAAAAGCGCTTTTAAGCTCCCCTCTTAACCAACATAAATTAAGACTTGAAATGTAATCTAATGTAAGGCTCTTGATGATGCCGTTTTGCAATTTTATGATTACGATGGCTGTTTAGCGGTTCCTATATTTCAGGTTATCACTATTTATAATACGACTAACTGCTGGTTGATCCATTTGCTTGCGAATTAATCTACATTATACTACAGACCATACTTGAATTCTTTCTTGGCATCAGCG